TATTAAGTGCACAGTCTCATTAATTAAATATAATTGTGGGGCACAGGTTTATCATGCAAAATAAAAAAAAAAGCTTCTTACCCACCTAGGTAGTGGAAAAAGTGTGAAGATTGAGAGGTCGTGCTGATCGGAAGCCTTTACATCCTGCTGCTGGCTTAATCATCTGCATATTTTCCGTCGTGCCAGGGATGATTTGATAGGACATGGTTCAGAACTCTCTCTCGTGCTTAGTAAATCTTTTCGACTGACAGAATGACCCTTTGTCTCTTCCCTCTTCTATACTGGAGCCTCGGAGCTTCCACCATCAACCTCCCACCAATGATGTCATCATTCTCTCCTTACCATCCAACCCCCCGTGTCCCGAATGCCCTTACCCCTGCCCTGTGCTCACAATGCATCTTCATTCTATTGGTCTTTTGTCTTGGCTGTCTGGGTCCACTGTGTCCAGCACACTGTCAGCATTTGGCAAGGTAGAGGCCGAAAGGGAAGAGAGCAGTATGGCTAGTGTTTCAGAATTAGGATTTTGGAACCAGACATGTCTGGGCTGGCATCCTGCCTCTATATCTTTACTGTGTAATGTTAATGTCAGGAGCCTCAATATTTTCACTTATGAAATGGATGTATAAGAATGCAAGCCTCAGAGAGCCATGAGATTAAACGAGAGCTTACACCACAGAGCACTTGTCTAAAATAAGCATTCAGTACACAGTAGTTAAGAGGTGAGAGGCTTTCATAGACCATAGGTACTCTTGCCTTTAAAGCCCCTTATTCCTTGAAAAGATATTAAAAATTATATTTTATGACCATGTTGGCATGAACATAAATAAATTAACATATATTGAAACAGTTCTTTAACCTAAACTCTCATTTTTCCCCCTTCTGTTCTGAAATAAACGAATCCATTTTTGTGGGTTCTGATACCTGTTGTGAGCACTGGGCACCGTGTCTCCCATGCCTAATGGGTAGGTCATCCCTGGGTGGAAGATTTGTTTTGGAGAGTCTTCCCTTTGCCTTTCCAGTGTCATTAACTGTTTTCTGGAAGATTTGGGTCCCAATGGCCCTCAGGACAGTACTGCCCTAATACTTCTCCCTTCCCCCTTCTCTTTTCTCCCAGCCACCCAAAAGATCCACAGTGTGGGGCTCCCAACTCCCATAGGCCTGCCCCATCCTTCTGCATTTAAACTCTTGCCTTTATTCCATACCATTCCCCTGATTAGGTCTTGTGGCCTTAGGGCTTTATCCTTGTTCTGGTAAGTTGGCATTGAATTTTCTCATAAACTATTTCTCCTTGAGGTATGAATGACTGTATTCCTCCTCTACTGCTTAGGGAGTATTTATATTTTGAGAGACTCTGTACCGTAATTCAAACCCATGTATCTAATAGAAGAATTTTAGTCCAGCAGAGGAAATATTTCAAAGCAAAAAGTGATGCTTGAGAATCATTTAGATTGTATGGTGCCAATGTCAGTAGCTTGGTGCCTACTGCCTGTATGCATTCAGTGGGCCTCAGTGATACAACTAGATTAGAAACTGCTAGAAGGCAGGGCACAACCTATCCCCAAAATTCTCTTGGTAAAGTATCATGCCCAGTGAAGTTCTGATGGATGTCTTTTATCCCAATGAAATCACACATTACTTCTTCTGTCCCCCATCTTGAGGGATCCCTCCAACTGTGCTTGGTGGTGACCTTACACCACCGCACAGCGTGCATAGAACACAAACTTCCCTCCCTTAGTGCTTGTTATTTTCTGGCTCTGGGCAGGATAATGATCTCAGAGATAATCCCGTTTATAAAGGAGAAGAAAACTATGGCCCAGAAAAGTAGAATATTTTCCCTAAAGTAGCAAATCAAGTTAATGGCAGAATCAAGATGAGATCCCCAGCTTCCTGAAAACACGGGTGTGGGTTCCATTTACCTCCATCAGGGCCTAGGGTGGTACTTACTACAGAGCACAGGCTCTGCAGTAGGAATGCCTCCTTTGATTCCTGGCTTCATTGCTTGCTGCGTCTGTCCTTTGAAATGATACTCGATCTCTAAACCTGTTTTCTCATCTGCAAAATGGGGGAGGGGGAGAAATAGTATCAACTTTATATAGTGTTGTGAAGATTCTGAGAGTTCTGAGAATTAAATAAGATTATCCGTATAAAGTGCTTAGTACAATATCTCACACACAGGCCTTCAGTAAATGACTCATGATTACACAGTTATCACAACTGTCTCTACAATCCTCATGGCTTAAAGAAAGTGTGAGTGCTGTTTCCCAGAGTGTGTACTGACTGCAATGCCCAGGGAGTGGCCAGAGCAGTGAGAGAATCTGGCTGAACAGGTTTTTTCAAAGCAGTGGAAAATAAATCAAAGGTGATAACCCAAATTTGGAAAAAGAATGTACTCCTTTGTTTGTTCTTTCCTAGTTGTGAAAGAACCTTCAAAATGCAATTGATGTTGAAATAAATTAGAAGTAATATGGCTGACTCTCTCTGGTCTGTGTTCTTGACCCCATGAGGACAGGCAGTGGCAACTTTGAGTTTCTGCTGAATGTGGTGATGGCTGGCCATGTTCTGTGAAGATGTCTACACCACTGAGTAGACAAAATTAGGAGTCAGCAAATCACGCAGAGATGGCAGAGATGGGGGAGAGGGGATGCTTCACACCCGGGTCCAAAGCATGCCCAGCCCCTTGCTGCAAATTGTTCTCCACTGAACATGAAGTCTCAGGGAACTTGGTTAGAACTCTTGGTTGAAAGTAACAGATGCCCAATTTATATTAGCTTAAGCAAGAGGGAAGTTCATTGCATAGTGTTTCAGTGTATCGAGGAAAACAAAGAGAAATGCAGAGCAGACTTGAGATTGGAAACAAGCCCCTGAATTATATTAAAACATGTGTCTCTCCTCTGCTTCATTTTTCTCTCTTTCTACAGATTTGCTTTTCTATGGCTCTAGTTAACATAATGAAACAGCAGTTCACAAGTTTTGTAGATCACTATATAGCCGCCTAAAGGGAGCCTGGACTCACGTTCTCCAAATCCAAAATTCCCATGAAAGTGACTAATCACTCGACCTTGGGCCAGGTTCCTTTCTCTGATTGCCAGTCAGTAATGATATAAGGTTATAATCTGTTTTACCCACATGGCACATTTACCATAACTGTTTACCACCTGTGAGTGAGCAAAACTACAGATAAGGGATGACTGAAACAGGTATTGATGAGCCAGATGACAAAAAGCAGATTTTTCCCATCCAGCCTTATACTGCATCCTGGCCATTCCCATATTCCTCATCATTTTACCTGAAAAATCTAGGATGTCTCTGTACTTACTGCCTTCATACTAGGTTGACCATAGGTTGACCTTGCACTAAAAGAGCTAATTCCAGCATGTTAGAGTGTAAATGGCATAGGCTTTAGAACCACACAGACCTTGAGTTAAAGCCCACTTGCTAGCTGTGTGATCCTGGGCAAGTTACTTAGCCTCTCTGAGTATTGATTTTCTTATTTAAATTAAGGCTAATAATACCTTCCTAATGTGATTTTTGTGCAGATTAGGGAAATAAAGTAACCATATTCAAGTGTTTGGTATGTAATGTATACTCAGTTATGTTAATTCCGTTTTCTTGATTAGTCTACCTAGAAATCTTCAGGCAAGTGAGAGAGTAGGCTTAAGGGAGAAGAGAAAAAAGGAGAAGTGATAGAATTTTCTATCTGGGAAATGTCTTTTTTCGCCTCAGGTATTTTGCAGTTATGCTGAGCAAACATTGAATAATTTCAGTGGGTCTGCCGCACTGGGAAATCCACATTTTGATAGATAGGGTCTCTCACTTTAGACACAAATCCACAAGGATCTGAGGACCAATGATGAATGTTTTGTTTCTTTTTAATTTATTAGTGCTATTATATGGCTGTTCAGCCTTTCTCTGTAATTTTAAGGTTCGTAAAGTGTAATCTGGTTGCTAGGTTGTGAATGAAGCACTTTAACATTCATGAAAAACTTATACATCTTCCTGGTCAGAGACACACTTCCCTTTCAGAATATAGTAAGCCATACTTACTATAAATAAATATAAATCGCTGCTTATTGAGTTGTTACCATAACAGGCACTTTCTAAACTTTTATATGCATTATCTCATTTCTTCCTATGAGTTAAGTGCTGTTGTCCCCATTTTCTGGATTAGAAAATTGAGACCCAGGTAAGTTGCTGAGATCACATAGCACCCAGTGACAAAATTGGCACTTGAGCTCAGTTTAGTCTGATTCCAGAGGCTGACCAATGAACACTTTCATTTTGGTAATGAGGTTTAGATACAGGAAACAGAAGAAACGAATTCCCAGAAAAATCAGTGCTTCAAGTACCTCATATGAAAGGGTCATCTCATGGCTTTTGCTACATGGGCTTGGCTGCAAAGCAGTGGAATTATAGGAAGAAAAAATGATGAACAATAATAGAATATCTCCTTAGACCTGAGAACTATTCTAATTACTTACTTAGAGGATAGCAGTGATGAAGGGGTTGAGTCTGTGAAAAAAAGCAACTAGAGATTTGGTTCCAGCTTTATACTTGTGAGTGTTTTCTATCTTGGTTAAAATTGTGCACACTCTGATCATCTGTAGCTGTGAGGGGTTGTGTGTGCATGTATGTGGAATATTTTGGCCTGCTCCAGAAAATAACAATGCTTTAAGCTTAGGTACTGGGAATAAATCCTTATGATACTTGAAGGAATCTTTATCCATTGACCTATGAACCACTGATGGGAACCACCGTGACCTCTAACCTAATTGACCCACTCCTCCAGAAATATTTTTATTTTGTTTTCTTTGTGCTACTGAGAGTTTCACTATATTCCAGGTTGTGATTCACTTCTGTTCTCTTTGTGCCTTTTTTTTTTTTTTTAAACTGAATCTTGTGTATAACTAGAATAAACATTTAAATATCACATTACTTTTTATTAGAAGCATGACTGGATTAATATCTCATATTTTTCCTTTTTATTCCCTTCTGTCTCTTAGCTCCAGGGTTCCTTGAAAAGAAAACAGGTAGTTAACCTGTCTCCTGCCAACAGCAAGCGGCCCAATGGCTTTGTGGACAACTCATTTCTTGATATCAAAAGAATTCGTGTTGGAGAGAATCTCTCTGCAGGACAAGGTGGCCTCCAAGTAAATAACGGACAAAGTCAGATTATGTCAGGGACCTTGCCTATGAGCCAAGCCCCCCTGCGAAAGACTAACGCTCTGCCATCCCATACACATTCTCCTGGCAATGGCCTGTTTAACATGGGCTTAAAGGAGGTAAAGAAGGAGCCGGGAGAGACTCTGTCTTGCAGTAAGCACATGGATGGCCAAATGACCCAAGAGAATATTTTTTCTAATAGATACGGAGATGACCCTGGCGAACAACTGATGGATCCTGAGCTGCAGGAACTGTTCAATGAACTGACCAACATATCTGTGCCTCCCATGAGTGACCTTGAACTGGAGAACATGATCAATGCCACCATAAAGCAGGATGACCCATTTAACATTGACTTGGGTCAGCAAAGTCAGAGGAGCACACCTAGGCCCCCCTTGCCCATGGAGAAAATCGTGATCAAAAGTGAATACTCACCTGGCCTGACTCAGGGCCCCTCAGGCTCTCCTCAGCTGAGGCCCCCATCAGCTGGCCCTGCATTCTCCATGGCCAACTCTGCCCTCTCCACCTCGTCTCCAATCCCTTCAGTCCCTCAGAGCCAGGCTCAGCCTCAGGCAGGTTCAGGAGCAAGCCGGGCCCTGCCAAGCTGGCAGGAAGTGTCTCATGCACAGCAGCTCAAACAGATAGCTGCCAATCGTCAACAGCATGCCCGGATGCAGCAGCACCAGCCTACCAACTGGTCAGCCTTGTCCTCTTCTGCTGGACCATCCCCAGGTCCATTTGGGCAGGAGAAAATCCCCAGCCCTTCTTTTGGTCAGCAGACATTCAGCCCGCAGAGCTCCCCCATGTCTGGGGTAGCTGGTGGCAGCAGCCAGTCAAAAGTAATGGCTAACTACATGTACAAGGCCAGCCCCTCGGCCCAGGGAGGGCACTTGGATGTGCTCATGCAGCAAAAGCCTCAGGATCTCAGTCGAAGTTTTATTAACAACCCGCACCCAGCCATGGAACCCCGTCAGGGCAACACCAAGCCTTTGTTTCACTTTAACTCAGATCAAGCAAACCAGCAGATGCCTTCTGTTTTGCCTTCCCAGAACAAGCCTTCTCTCCTACACTACACCCAACAGCAACAGCAACAGCAGCAGCAGCAACAGCAGAGTTCAATTTCAGCTCAACAGCAGCAACAGCAACAGCAGCAGAGCTCAATTTCAGCCCAACAGCAGCAGCAGCAGCAGCAGCAGCAGCAGCAGCAGCAGCAGCAGCAGCAGCAGCAGCAACAGCAGCAGCCATCTTCTCAGCCCACCCAATCTCTACCAAGCCAGCCTTTGCTAAGGTCACCTTTGCCACTTCAGCAAAAGATCCTACTTCAGCAAATGCAGAATCAGCCCATCGCAGGAATGGGATATCAAGTCTCCCAACAACAAAGACAGGTAAGGGCAGCTCTACTACCCCAAATACAGAGTTCCCAGAGACCATTTAGCTTGATTGTTATGCTTTGGTTACCATTATGTTTGTGTTGCGACAAGATCAAGACCAAAGACAGTAGTGGTCTTGATGGAGTCATATGAAGACCTCAGAAAGCCTGGTTCATTTGGGGCATCTGGGGCAAGGGCTAGTACTTCCTTGTAGAGCATCACTGCCATTGTGATCTGTAATGATCGAAGGTCTTACTCAGAATAGAGCATTATAATGTGTGCCGTTAGTGACATATCCAGTTGTCAATCAGATGGTCATTTATCCAGGCAGTAAATTAGTCATTAAGTCAGCATGCACTTTTTGAGTACTAGATGTTGTAATTATGCTGAGTTATTGGAATAAAGCCAGAGGTGGGATTGAGTATCATATGACTGATCTATACCTGCACCAACCAACTAGAATATCTAAATGCCCAATCCATCATAATGGTCCTGCGATGACTCCCTGTGATTCATGTGGACCGAGTACCAGCCCTAAATAAAACATGATCCCTGTCTGCAAGAACAGTAAGGAAAGAGAGACAGGATTTTAAACTACCATTTTAATATGAGGTAGAAAGAATAACGATATGAGAGCACAGGGAAATCAGGGAAGGCTTCTGGAAAAGTAATGTCTGAGTTAAGTGTTAAAGGATGAAATCATCATGAATAAACAGAGAAAAAAAATCTCTGGTTACCTTATGTCCTTTGGTTAACATAAAACAGAGGTTTATTCCACCCCAGATATGAGCAGTATGAAGACATAGCTCTGTGCCTCCAGAGCACATACTGATGAGTAAGCCCTGATCCCCAGGGAACTTGAAAGAAAAGACTCTTCCTGGAAGGAAGGAAGGAACTTTGAATATTGCTTTGTGTGTGTAATTTGACAGGTCTACATTATCTGTCTAAGCCCAAAGACAGCACATAATATGTCAGAATAATATCTCAGGACAGTGTGATGGTACAGAACCTAATTCCAACAACATTCCTAGAGTAGTTTTCATGGCTACTGCCCAGAAAAGAATGCCACAAACACCACAAACTCTGTCCAGGCTAACCTTTGCCCTAGATGTTGTCCAGAACACCAGACTCAATGAGGATTCAAAAATTAGGCACTAAGGACAGCTTTCAGCAATTTTCCACTTAAGAAGTGGGTTTTTAAAAAATTATGGCTTATGGAGAATGGACTTGGAGTAGAGTCATACACACACACACACACACACACACACACATTTTTTTTACAAAATTTCTTTTTTAACCCAGGCAATTTTGGGAACATTTAAAAACAAGTTGTGGTACCATTTTCTAATGCTGTATGTAGGCACTTTGATTTAGATGAATGTAGGTTCAGATTCTTACTCTGACAATCCTAGCTGTGTCACCTCAGGGAACTCACTGAACTTCTCTACACTTATTTCCTCATCTATCAATAGGAGTGAAAAGAAAATATCTTAGGGGTGTATTGAAAATAAAATGAGATAATTCTCAGCCCAGAATCTAGAATAAGTTGATTACTATTATGATTATGGCAAGAGCCATAAACCACCAAATGTTGTTTTTAAACAGGCACTGCTATTATATAGGAGAGGCATTGGAGTAAATCCCAAATCCTAACATAAAGAATATTGGGGAAATAAAAGAGAATTATCCTTAATTCTTCCATGATCCAGCAGCTTGAGTGTGTTGTGGTTTACCCTTTCTAGGCCCAGACTTCTGACTATAAAAATGAAAATTATAAATAATGAGATAGCAATAAGTTAGCATTTATTACCAGCACGACTTCCACTTCCCTTACTTAGGGCATCTCATTTCATCCATTTGAGGGAAATGACGTTATTTCCATGTTACAGGTAACAGAATTGAGGCACAGAGAGGTTCAATAGCTTTTCCAAAGTCACACAGATAATAAGTAGCAGCTACAGGGTTCTGATAATCTACTTTTAAGCCTATACTTTTAGCCACTAGGATCTACGGGTCACAGGTAGCATATGCTGGGATCTTCATAGGTCATTGTGGAATTCTTAAAAAGAATATTCTGCTAATGTTGAGCCCTACTTACATAATCTACATAGTAGATTAAGTCCTTTGGGATAAAAACATATCCTAAATCTCTATTCTTTAGAGATGCTAAAGAAATTTTAAACACACACACACACACACACACACACACACACACACACACACACACTCCTGTGTAATTGTTAGCCTTCCCAAGGGTAAACATTATGAAGTTAACCAAAATAAACAACTTACAACAGGAAATATAGATCTTCGGTGTCCTATCAGTCCTTTTCTGGGAGCCTCCCTGCCACCTCCAACATCCTCTGTCCTGTTTCCAGAGATACGGCTGATATCAGCAACTGTAAACCATATTTCTGACCTCTTAGTCCCCACCTGAGTTTCTAGGACCCAAGCACACCAATGCGTGCTGATGGCCAAATCAGCAAACATCTTCCGATGCCTTAGATAATGTTTTACATTCTCCTAGGGCATATGATACAAAGGTAATTTTTATCTCTTCCAAAAGGCCCTTAAAAAGTGATGGAAATGTGGCAGCGTTTCAAGTTAAGGACCTCTCTTCTGTGCAGAGAGCAGCCACCAATTTAAAGCTTTGTTCCAGCTTTAAAGACTGAACCACATTGTCTCTTCCAACTCAATAATCCCATAACATATGATTCCAAAATCATGTATCTGAGCTTTCAGCAAGTATACTACAGCTCTGTAGTCAAGTAAGTATTACCTTTGAAAAGCATTCACATTCAGGAGGGAAGTGTACACATTCTAATAATGATGCTATTGTTCAATACAGCTACAGAGTTTTCTCTGGGGATTGTCTCCAGGGCTTAAAGCACATTTGGTAGATTATTACCAGCACTATAACATTCATCCTATCAAGGCAATTTTTACAAACAGTCAAGCCAGGTAATGCTGCTTTAGGTCAAAACCAAGGGATAACTATGATGTAGCAAGACTGCATTACAAGTATGGTGTGTGAGCTTTCTCTGAAGGCAGTTAAAGAAAGTGAGCTCCTTCTTAAGATGTTTATTTTGAGAAGCAATTTTTATTTGATATACATACTTTAAGGTTCTTCTGATTCTCATTCTCTCATCTAGTGTGTTGGCATGTATTCTCAACTCAGAGAGAGTAGTTTTAACTCTACCATCTATAAAGACAGTGCAAATGTCTATTCTCATGCCAGAACAGCTAAATTTCCGTTACTCATGACCAAAATCATAGGTAGGGTGGGGGATCTGGAATTAAGCAACTCTTAAATTTTTCAACTAAAACATCCTAAAGGAAAACGCTAGTCATGTATTTTTGTGTTTCTGCTTGTCATACTCACTTTGTGTCAAACAGGACTGTTTACTATGGGATTTGTTACTTGGAGCTCTTTAGCCTTGTGATTGATGGAAATCTTGGTTCTCTGCTACATTAGATTTGAATTTGTTGATTGAATTTGTTGATCAGCTGCTTGCATTTTACCCCATAGATGTGCAAAGGTGACCTTCTCTTTACCTGTCAGAACTCTGAACCCAGACAGATCCACATTTTCAGCTAGAGACTGAATGTGAGAGATTCCTATGCACCTAGTAAAAGGGAACTTTACTATGCACCTACCTCTATTTTCCTATAGGTAAATGATGTCTGAGAGATGGACGTAACATAATAAAATTGTTGTTAAATCCTTATTGTTCCATGCTTGGGGTGGTTTAAGTAATCTCTTCTCCAGAAACTGGGTAAACAAATGCTATTTGGTATTTTACAAAATGTCTTCGGCAGACTCTTGTCTTGCTAATATTTGTAGCCTGGCAAATGGAGATACCTCTTGGCTATAATTTTCTTCCCTTCCTGATTTGAGGATTAAGGGAGAGGGCAGGACAGGGATGCAATGCATGTATTTTTGATTTATCGTCAGGTCGCTGAACACTTCTTTAAGTTGTGAAAGAGTTACTGGTTGATCAGGGCACATGAGGTTTAAGCCAAAAGTGCTTACCTCTTGAACCAAAAAGTGATCTTTTTCAGAGCTATATAATCAGTCACTTAAAAGTGTGAATTATTTTCTAACATTGGATCCATGCAACTCAAGTGGATTCTATATTTGGTTTAGAATTCTCCCATCTCTAAAACTTCTTGGAGGGAAGGCAGCCAGTGAATGGATGGTTTGTTATGACTGAAACATAAATTCATACATTGCCTCCTTAGTTTAGAGCCAAGCTCCTCAATCATATATTAATAACCTCATCCCACTCTCTCTTCCTAGCCAAGCTTATCCTTCACTACATCATATTACACCCTTGGTGTAAATCAGACAAGTCTCCTAATGTTTCCTGCCCCACTTCTTTAAGGTAGTATTGTATATATCTGATCTTAAGGATGAACACCCAGAAAATTGTTTCCAAATTGGCCTGGGCGACAGTGGAGAAATCAGTGTAACTCTCTTATGCTGACAGTACCTCTTAGTCCTTGCAATTGTCCAATGGAATTGCCAGAGAAGAAATAGAAATCTTGTATCAGCTGAAAATGCCTTTTCCAATGAGAAAATAATCATGAATTTAGTGTTTTGTAGTAATATAGCATCCAAGCCACTCCTTCACTGGATCCTAGAGGTTGGCTGAAGGGTCACCAAATTAGTCTGGTGCCAGAGTTTGGGTTTATAGGCTAGAATAGGGTACAGGAAGTCAGGAGCATGGAGGGCCAAAGACATTAGTCAGTATATTGTGAACTTGTTCAAGGAGGCCATAAAAAAAATGGTGACATACCTGCGGTCAAGGGTAAATATAATGACATGAAATCTGTAGTGAAGATGGGATAGAGACTCAAGAGATGCTAGGTGATCACTGCAAATGACTCTTGACCATTAGATGATATCTTTATAATTTACCTTGGCTGAGTCTTGGCAAGAAGCAGCAGGGTTGATACAGACATATTGTATGTTGCCAATGGGAGTCCAGGAGCATTATGTTTACATTTTCATT